AGTGAGACTGTAAGAAGTAGCATTCTCACAGATCAAAGAAATAATCACTAGCAGTTATTGATGTTTTTTGAAAAAAAAAAAGGGGGGGGGTTCACAAAAACTTTCTTTGAAACGTTGAAAATATTTGTCCATAGGTCGTTACTGTATGGAAACTTTTGCTTCTAATATAAACGTACTGAATTCTTTGCTTTGCAATCAGTTAAAACTCATACTGAAATCAACGAGCGTTGTGCTCCATATCACCCTTTGTAATCCAACGTGTGTTACAGTGATTTGGAGTGTATTTCATTTCTGTAATGTTCCTCCTTTTTTTCTGTTTCTTGTGCATTTCTTAAATCAGTTAAAATCTATTGTTTCAGATATAGATGGAAACGTCAAGAAAAACACTCCATCTGTTCAGCAGTTTAGTCTTTACACCTATTTAGAAATGACCTGGTTACTTTCATAGCAGCTTATCTTTCAGTTGCCTGGAATTATGAGGGGACTCCCTGTTTTAAGGTGTCTGTCTTAAAGACATACAAAAGAATCAAGGATTCTTGTTTGGAAACAATATTGTTATATTGATTACCCCACACAGGAAGCCTTCATCCAAATAGTCAATCTGTAAGCATGGTTCAGCGAGTTATTTTTCTCATAGCTGAGTTTCCTCAGCCTAAGAGAATGTGCAGTTATTATAACATACTACCACATAAGTTTGTACAGGTTTCACATGCACTGAAATTAAAAACAGTTTGTCAAGATCATTACAAACAGGAATAGATTTTTCCTTTGAAAACTGCAGAGGATAACAGGAGACTTGACTAGCGTGCTATATAAAGAAAAAGTCTTTGCCTGCCTTACTCAAGGAAGCAAATGTTAAAACCATGGGAATATCATCATATGGTTAGTCTTTGCTTGTAAAGGAAGAGTTCAAGTCTGCTTCTGTAGAGATCCTTCCAACGTAGTATTTCACTGAGCTTCAGGATTTTTCCTACTTTTAAAATCATTTGATAAAAAACCTGAAGTGCTTCCTGTCGTAAGCAACCGGCCTGAAGAGCACTTGTCAAACATAGCTCTCGAGTGACTCCAACTCCTCCCTTATGGAATCACATGCAAAGGTAATGTTTACTATAAAGTAAGAAGTCATTGTCATGGGTACTATGAAGTTGTGACGGTGGCACCAAGTGTGCTATGAAATTATCAGGCTCACATATTTTCCAAGAAATCCGCTTGCAGTGAGTGATTCAGAGCTTCTGAATCACATGTTTTTGAAGATCTTGTCAAGTTTCTTCTTTGTATAACATTTCTATTTCAAGCTCAGGAGACTAATTATAAAATAACATTATGCCAAGCTGTGTAATTAAGATTTGCACTTGCCATGCCGAACCGCCAAAGCGATCAGTGGAATCCTGGGTGTTAGACTTCAGGCAAAGAAAGTTGTATCATGTTTTGTTAAAAAGGCAAGACTGGAAGAGTGGATCTTTTTAGAACCAATCATTTTTTATTCTTAAAGCTACAAAGTCTAGAAAAGGATCCTGGAAAAAGAGAGGAGAAAGATCTTGCAAATTGTTAGTTGCGAAGAGTGCTGTCATTTCACTGGTATTTCCCTACCTCATAGCGTACAGAGGATTCCCCGCAGAGATGCTGGAGCAGCAGAGCATGATGGTAAGGCTGGGCCTTTGCTGAGGTGTCATCCTGGATACTTGATAAACAGTGCTCCTCCCAGATCACATCGTCTGGTGTGAAGTTCTCTTTATAGTTGCTTGTAATCTTTTATCAGAGTTCACCTTAGCACTTTTGAAAGCTCTCGTGTATAGGAGCTATCTGGGATAACATGTTTGTAGAGCTGTTGTCTCTCAGAGCAATAGTCTATTGAAAGGGCCTGCTTTTTTTTAAAGCTCACTTTTTCTTTTTGCTGGGTATTAGCATTTTGGTTCTTTCATAATATCTTTTTGTAAATGGTGGAGGAAAAAAATCATGCCCAGTGACGTGAGCACTCTGTCATGCAAAAATAGTCTAGAAAATTGCAGCAAAAGGCTGGAAATAGTCAGCCATCTCTGTGCAGAATAATTAAACCCATCTTGCTGATTGTTTTCTTCTCTTGTACCTTCAGTATTTCACGATCCTCCGATAGCTATGTTATCCTGTGCAGTTTCTGCTTTTTTCCTGGAGTTTTCTCCCCACTGCTTGGCTCCCTCTAATCCTAGTAGTTTTTTCTCTCAAAATCGCTGCTCTGCCACTTAGCACTCATTTTCCTATCTGAACCACACACCAGCCCCTCACTTCCTAATTTTTGGAGCCTGCTGATACCTCAACCTCTTAGTATTTCTTTACTTCAAATACAAATTTGTGTGAATTCTGAACATTCGTTTTAGTGTGGATAATAACAGCACTCTGCCAAAAAGAAAATAAACTCATTGCCACATGATTGCTGTGGTGACAGCAAAATGGGTCACTGCAGTTTTAGGGCTGATTTTGTGTCTCGACTCTTGAATGTCTCCTATAAAATAAAATTAGATATACAAAATAAAATAAATAAAATAAAACTAGGTATATAAAATTAGGGTCAGTGCAAGAAGACTTCGGACAAAATTTAACTGAAACCTCCTTTTGATGGCTGATCTCAAAATGGCATTGGCTTGATCTCAAAGGGAATTGTCTGTGTCTAGGAGAGAATTGGGTGTTCCCTGCTGCAAGCGAGCAGGGAATGCAGTGTCACTCACTTGACATGAGTGTATTGCAAAGTCCCACGCCATCGGCCAGGCGCTTTTGGAACCAAGCAGCTTATTGTCACTGGATATTGTCACATGTCGTAGGACACTGGCAAAATTATTTCTTCCATAAGAAAGCAGAAAGCAAAAGAGTGAGGCTTACTTGTAAGAGATGGTAATGTTTACTCTGTAAATGTTCCTACAGAAAAAAATCTTTGAAATATCTTTCTGTTTGTTTCATAATATGTTATCTTTTGCTGAGCAGGAACATGGTAAGAGTGGGTCCCCTAGGGAAGGGGGAAGAAGTTAAGCAGTTCTTTGTTCAAGAACTAAATTTTGTCTTTTATTTTTGCAACAGAAATTTTAAATTTTTCTCTAAAAGCTACTCATCTCCAAAGCAAAACTTTCCAATTCAGGTTTTATAACAAGAGGTTTATAACTGAATCAGAAATTGAAAGTATAGAAACCCTTGATTGAGGTAGCTGTTTTCATGAAAAGGCTGTCTAGAATGTGAGATCCAAACTGGTGCAGTAGAATACCTCCAGTATGTGCTATAATTAAATGTGCTAAAACCAACATAAAACACTTAAATTCCTCTTTTAATGTGAACATACTGGAAGTATTATTATTAGGGGTGGCCTAAAAGTCACTGTTAAATATGCTTACATACTAAACATAACAACTGCATCTTGGTAGCCTTGTCATATTATATTAAAATAACACTAATAGCTTTTTCAGAAAAATATTTAGAAAAGCTCACTGCCCTTTCAAAGTGAAATTTCAGATGGCTCCTCTCTACACAAACCGTTCATTTTCTTGACATTTCAGCTGTGTTTGACATCATCATTAGCTTTTAATTTGGACCCATGACAATGAACAGCTCAACTTGCCTCTAAATATCTGCTTCACAAGAGATTACATTTTGGATAAAACTGTTACTTTAAGTAGGCTAGTCCTCTGAAATATTGATAAGAATTACAGACTTACCTGATTAGTAAAGAGTCTTGAAGCCAAGTTGGATCCAAGCACTATGCGTGTAGAACGATGTGTGTATATGAAATGGAATTCAGAGTTGGACTTTGAATGGGATTTTCAAAAGATCTTAGCTGAGTTAAGAGGACTAGTGTCACTGGGGCTTTTGCTTTTGCCTCTTATTGGTGCTCTAAAAAATCCTTCTGTCATTGCTATAGGCCATATGAAATACTTGTATTTGAATAACAGCAAAAGATCCAAATGTGATCAAAATCCAAATTTTCAGCATAGGTGCACTTCCTTTTCTTTTGGACAAAGTAAAGAGAAGATAGGCTAATAGCTATATTTTATATTGCTATCACAGAAGCTGACTTTTTGCTTGTTGCTGTAAACTTGCATATGATTTAGTTGACTTCCTAAGTGAACTTTTGGGTTGTGCTGAAAATGGAAGAAATAGCAAAATGATTTTAAAGATGGCAATTATGCATTTCTGTCTTTCAGGTGAACTTAGTTCTAGACAGATGACTTGGGAAACTGAAATGTTCTGTTTCAGTCCACAGCTCTCCTCTAGCTCCTATTAACTTGACTTCTGTCTTTCTGGAGAGCTGATTTCCTTTGGATGAGAATATATCCCAGCTTTACCTCTTGTTTCTTCTGCTGATAATTAGAATAATAATGCTTATTATTTCTTACTTGGAAAGTGGTATGCCACGTAGGCATATATAAACCTAGAAGTTAGATTTCAGTAATTCACATTTTTCACACAGGATGCTCAGTAGCTGGTGATGCATTCCAAAACTTACTGACCTGAGCCTGATATGAACTGGTGGCCATGCTGTATAAGCCAGTAGCCACATGCATCAATATCAACACTTGTGGTAGAATTACAAAACTGCTAAAAATCTCCTCATGAAGGAAATATTCTTGGGATGGTAGGGTGAACAAGTACAGAAGTGTGATTATAACTTACAGATGTATTTTAAAGGAGGTAACTATAAGGAAAAACATGTAAGGCAATATGAGGCTGATTGGATTTCTGTGTATCTCTCTAGCAGCACTACTTGTCTTTGGTAGGGTATCTTTATTCCAAGCAGATACTAGTATCTTAAACTTCTACCTAAAATAGTATATGTAACTTCAGATAAAACTTTTAGTAGAGGGGAAGGAAGGAGGGAGGAAAGAGAAGAAGGGGAAAGGGAAGGGGAGGGAAGTGGAGGGGAGGGAGGAGATTTCATATTAACAGGATAGCATAGAAAATAGATTTCCCCTACTGTCAGTCTGTACATGTAAGTGGAAGAAAAAAATAGCAACCAAACCAAAGAAGAAAACCCCAAACAGGCAGAGAGGAAAGGGACAAGTTTAATGATAGAAGAAAAATACAGATATTGACAGTGGAAAACAGATAGAAGGGACATCTCCAAAGGATTAAAATATTGCTACTTTCTATTTCCAGGTAAATGCAGTGTAATTCTTTCTTGAGTTTTCGAAACTATTTTTTTTTTTTTTCCAAAATTTCCCACTGTTCTGAATTTTAAGAGGGAGAGGGATCACTTGGCTATTTTCTTCTAATGCAGTCAGTATCCCAATCCAAAATTTAAAGGGGAGAGTAAGATTTTGGAGGTCCAAAATTCAAAGAGGAGATTTTTATTGGCTTGATTAGACTTTGATTCCAGTCTGCTTTCTGCATGTACAACCAAATGCATTCTTCTCAAGTTTGCAGTTTGAGTTACCATCATGGGACCAAAATAAGGAGATTTTGTTCATACTGGGGAATGTTTTCGTCATCGAGATAGATGGTTCTACTAAAACCCCTATGATATAAAAGAGCCATAACCTCGTCTGTAGCTAGCTGGATGGTAGTTTAAACAAATATATCAACAGATTCTGCCACCTTTATTCACAGACTGATGCTTTAATCTTTAGCTTCACACTTGGGGTGGATTTTGATACCCTTAGTTGTGTGAAACAACACCTTGTTTCAGACCTAGCACCACTGATGTTAACAGGACTGCTTACTGAGAAACATGCTAAACTATTCAAAGATAGCTCCTTAATTTCAGCAAAACTGTGTATTCATTGCAGTATTATACAGTAGGTTTCAAGACCACAGACTCCTAAGAGTTTTCTCCAGTAGCAGTATTTCAATACTTAGTCCCCAATACGACAAGTAAAAGGTGAAAGTATAAGACCAGAGTAAAAAGATTTAAAGTGGGAAGAAGCAGTGTAAAGCCCCAAGTGAAAATAATAAAATGTGTATGAGAGACCAATAGGAAGACATGGTCATATTTATGATTTACTGTTAAGTGCTAATTTCTGTGACATAAACTACTCTGGTTGCAAGAATCAGTACTCTTGAATATATGTATCCCTTCAGTTCTCAATCACTGTGCTTTCACAAGAAACTATTGCATTACATTGCAGCTGCAAAACCCAGCTCACCTCTCTGACTGTTCAATAATTTGGATTTACCGGCTTCTATCTTACTTGCTGGATTCAAGGCAAACTTTGGCTAAAAATATGTCTGCACTTGGGGTGTCAAATTTCCCCAAAATGGGAAATCTTTAACAATTTTTCCAGCTGTCTTTCCACCTCTTTCAGTCTTCAGAACACTCCAGCATCTCTTACAGAACATTCTCTGTGAAATCACAGAGGCAATTCATGATTTTGGATCACAGCTGATCCACATAGCTTACAAACTAAGCCCCTGGCCGATCAACCAGATTCCTGTGGAAGGACCTTTGAGCCGGGACAGATTCTGTCCGAATTCAGCGGGGCTCTGTGCAGGCCAAAGGTCTATCCGGTTGTATTCTGCTAGTGATCAGTCAGAGTCTAATACTGTATCTATTTTATGCTATGTTAGTAATACATATTACTATTAATATCATTTAATAAGGCACGTCTTTTAAAAAACAAAGTCCTCAAATCCCTAGGTCATTAGGACATAGTTGGCGAGGGGGGCAGAAAGAAAGCTCTTCTCTATTAATTTGACATACCAGGAATATTGCTTACTGTGTTTCTGTTGTAGTAGTCCTAAAGCAAAAACTTAGTGTCCTGCTTACTTAATACAATGGTATCTATTCATTTCAGGATGTTATGTGTATAAAGCACCTGATAATATGCATAAACGTGCTAAAATTTGTATCTATTTTGATTCCTTAAAAAAGCTCAAATATTTTGGACCCAGATTTGAGGTGATACATCTGACGTTATTAAGTAAGTTAAGGAATACTATTGGCACTGTTTGTGTGCCAGGTTACCACTGCAAACAATTGATGGCAAGCAAAACGGACACTAAGTTTCAGCTACAAGGTTTACTCTTCAATAATTGATGGCTTCCACACCTGTGCAGTGACGCCAGCTTTCTTTGCTGAAAATTTTGGCCTCGGAGCAGTAAACAAAGAGGATGTGGTGGTTTCTGGCTTAGAAAATGCAGAGTAACCTGTAGGTGAATATGATTCATTTACTGGGATAGAGGCATTTGACTGGAACGAAGGTTGTGAACTGTAGGCTGGCACAGAGTACACTGAAGATGCCCGGACGTTAGTAGGAGAGCCAGCGCTAGGTGGTCTTAAAGGTAGAGCTTGCTTTGAAGTGGACAGCTTCGATGTCTGCTTAATAGCAAGGCTTTCCTTAGTGCTAGGAGGTTGAAAAGTAAACAAAGATGCATCGAGTTGATAAGGTTGATGTTTCATAATATCCAAAGCATTGAGACTTTTCTTAGGTTTTCTTTTTGTAGTTTTGGTAGCAGCAGTGGACTTAGAGGAGGACTTGGTAGCAGCAGGAGGATAAGATGGGCAGTGGATGGGATTATAAGCAACAGGTGGAGGTGCTCGGACATTAGATGAATATTTCCAAGAAGCTGGTAAAGATGGAGTTGGAGATGAGGCTCGTGCCATGTTTGCCTGCACAGTCTCTGAATCTACCACATACTTCTCCATTCGAGAGTGCCTTCTGGCAAATAACTGTGCTCCTTTTCCACTCATAGCTGGTGGCATCTCAAAGGGTGGCTTTGTTCCTCCAGCACTTGGTGTGACTGGTGTTGTCTTGGGCGTATGGTTTGGACTCGCTAGGGTTGCCTGAGGCCCTTTGAAAGGACCAGCTAGGTTGAGAGTACTTGGGGGATGGGCAGGAGAATGAGGATACTGTGGAGATTTGAGTGGTGCAGGATATGCTGCCTGAGGTGAGGCTGGTGCTGGGAAAGAAGGAGCCTTGTTAGAAGCCGCAGCTGGAGGTGACCAAACTGGTGAAACTGGAGTACCAGCAGTAGGAGAGACCTTGAGTGAAGGCTTTGGAGCAACAGGAGGAGGGGCCTTTTGTTTAGATGCTTGAGTCTGCATGAAATTGCAAGCTTCTGCTCCCAAACTGAGGTAGTCTTCTTCAGGTCCTGACTCAAAACCAGCTCCAGTACCTTTTTTGCCCTCTGCATTGTGTACAAGGGACAACAGGGCAGGATTAGGACTTACTTTGGGTGTTTCTTTGAAAGTGAACATAGGTTTTGAAGTGCTTCTTCTCTTTGCCTCTTGCAGTATCCCAGTTCTTTTGGCTGGCACCGCAATCCTTTCATCTCTGGATGCTATGTGTTCTGTTGGCTCAGTGGGTGACCACGCAGTTGGGGCAGCTCTGCTGGCTACAGGAGCTGAAACAGGTCTGTATAAAGCCTCAGGTGGTGGGCTAACAGAGCAGTAAGGAGGTGGTGCTGGTATATCTGAAAGAGGACTAGTGACATTTCTTGTGGGTGAAAATGGTGCAGCTGCTCGGTTTTGAACCCCAGAAGGGAAGGGTTTAGCTGTTTTATTCAAAGATGCTGCTTTTTGAGCTTCAGAGGACTGAAAAGAGAGGTTTGTGTCTGGTGCTAAGCCAAAGCCATTTTGTTGTACCATTTTGCTATGATTCTGGCTCACGTCTATGTAGCTTTTGCTCACACAGGTCTGCTGTCGTGACATTTCTTCCTCTTTTGTTTGATAGACCGAAGAGCTTACTTTCTGGAAGTTCTCTGACATGGTGGCTTCCCTTCGTTGCTCTGTATGCACTGTGCGTGCCTTCATCTCCTCTTGCTCAGCTGTAATCTGATCCATCCTCTGCCGTCTCTTGGCAAACATGAGGGCCCCTTTACCTGTGCTCTCTGGAAGTGTCTGCATCTCGTCTCCACTTTTTGTCTTCTTTTCAACCTCAAGTAGACCACTGTCCCAGTCAAATGTCACGATCTTACCGTCGTTGTCAATGTCAGAGAAGAAATCTTCATCTATTTCTGACTCGCTTGTTGCAAGCAAACTCACTTCAAAAGTGTTTTCTTTGTCCCCCTCTTCACCTTCACCTTCTTCACCCTCGTCTTCGTCACGTTCTAACTCCCCAGTACCGTAGCTAACTAAAGTGTATTTCCTCGCCCTTTGACGACGCTTCTTGAACATCAACACCCCCTTGGAATTGGGATTGGGAGCTGCTGTCAGCAGCAATGCAATACTTTTACATTTAGATTTGGCTTCTTTGACTTGCTTCTCTGACAGACTCTCACTTCGCCGGAGCCCTATAGAAAGAATTCAAGTGCACTTTTAATTGCATGCAGCCCAGGAAAATACAAGGAGACTAATAACAAATAGTTCTGCATTTATCTATACTGAAATTTACCCACTGCTCCCTTCCCCCATATTAAAACATTTATTTTCTTTTGCATGGAGAGGTCATTATACTTAGGCTTTTCCCACAGTATCAACTGTGTTGTAAATTCCATACCCAGCATTCCTTAGAGTCACACCCATGCAAGTTCAAAGGCTACATCACTTTCTTTAGGACTTTCTTAGTTCAACAGGAACATTACATGTGTCTTTATTTCTAGCGTTCTCGATTTTTATTCCCATAAGTAATCTCAGCAGCAACAGGCAGACGAGATTTTCTCATTTATTCAGTTTCTGTGGTCTGGTATTTACCAAGTGTTTGACCACAGTTCCTAGGCTTACAGCAGACATTCCCAGCCAGCCAGGCCCATGACTGCTTAACATCTGAGACCAAATGAAACTGAGTGTATTCTGTCTGATGGTGGCAGCAGCTTCTGCCATTTATGTGTTTATTTTACTCATATGCATCACAAAATGTGTATAGTTGATAAAAGTCGTTATGCTTCTGTGTATTAGCTATTTAAAAGCAAATATACATCCAAAAAGGCATACACAGAAACCATTAGCGTTAACTTTCAGCCCCGTGGAAGACATGGGAGTTTGGCCATGGTACTCAATGAAAGCAGGTTTCAGTCTTTTAACAAGCATTACTTGCCTGAAACATAATCCAAAATTATATAGGATATCACAGCTCCAGAATATTTATTTTGAAAACGTGGCAGGTATGAGTACGCATTTAAAAACTGAGTGGAGAAGGCTCAACTAACTTCTCAAGAGTATTTGCTAGCATATATCAATGATACATATTTCTTAAAGCATAAATTATTGGTTTTCTTCAAGTCATGTGGAACAGGAATAGATGCAGCTGTAAAGCTGATAGATGCGCTGTACATCAGCATGACAGCTGCCTTGTTCTGTGGCATGGAGCATGTCCCTCTTGGGGCAATGCTAGTCAGGTGGTGTTCCTGTTTCTTTCTCTTCCTTATGTTCTACCACCGCATCTCATGAATGACAGCCTCAATAGTTTCTCCCTTTAAAAAAGCTAGAATTTAAAGCTGTTACTGCCTACATCAACGGTCCCCTTCCACTTAATTTCAAAAGGGAAAAGCGTGCTTCTGATATATGAAAATAGAACAGTAAATTATTTAGTATCTTTTGCTAGTATAAATAAGCAAACTCATTAAAGAAAGCCATGTGATGTATTTTCTATTAATGATCCTTTTAGCCATGTCAGTAGATGGAGTCTGATACCTCTCCTATTAAAGACAATTGCAGTTTTGCCATTATGCCAGATGACAGCATGACTGGACCAATGGTTCTCACAAGAACCCATAAAAGAGAAAAGAGCATGGCACATGAACCAGCAATTTGTAATGTTTTATTACGAGAGGGCCAAATCACAAAATCCTCGGCTCAGTCCTTTGACAATCCAAATGCTTACAATAGTCACTGAAGACATTTTCCACAAGTGTGGGCTTTAGAGTTAGAGTGCCTCTGCAAACAGAAATGGTCGCCCTTCAGCATGTAAGTTCTACACTTTCAAATAAGCTACTTGCATCAGCAGTGAGTGTTTTTCTAGGAAGGGGATTCAGCAGGTACCCATACAGTTCTGTGGAAAGAAAAAATTGAAACTTTTCTTTTTGCTAGCGAATTTTTTCTTAATTCATCTGAATAGTTACTTAATCAATAGATTCAAAAGATGGCAGAAGAAATGTTACCTGCTCAGGTGAATATAATCTGGTTACTATTTACAGAGAAAATTTCTGCTAAAGAGATCAAACACCTACAATAAATGTTCTTCTCTAGTTTAGACTTACATGCTGCATTATAACTTCTAATTTTACAAAAAACATGCATAGTATTTGCTGCACATAGATTATTCCCCTGTGCTTGGCTATTTGTTTGTTCTAGTATGTAGATAGGATTTTACAAATAGTAATAATAATAAAAGCAAACATTTTTGTAGTTTATATCAGTGGTTCCTAAGGATAATGACCTGCCACTAGATTAGAAGGAATTGAGATTGTCATAGTTGAGATGGGAAAAGGACAGAATCTGTGTCCTACTTGAAAGCAGAATTTATCATGTAAGATGTAGTTCGTTGTTTGTACTTTTGCCTCATAAGAGAGGCACTGCAAGTAATTGTCTAAGAAAGACAGGCGCAGTCCCACAGTTGGTTCTAACTTCGCAGCCAAAATGTAAAGCATGTGCACTTTTCTTTTATGCTTCATTTAATATGCCAAAAATATGTGGATTGCATACAGACACTTAGGCATAAGTAACTGCTTAATCCACTTGCCAATAAGATACAAATGGTTATCATGCTAAAAATATGCTTACAGAGGAATTAGCAGTGGGTTAGCAGACTAATTCCAACACCGCATGTGCAATAGCTTGTTGCTACAGTATATCGCTGCACACATTCAAGCACCTTTGACATACTGGTACTAAATCCCCAGACAGGATTCTTAACATTGTTGGGAAAGAGCAAGCAACCAATAGAAAGGTCCCAAATGAATAAAATAATAAATAAATAAAAAAAATATAAATAAACAAAACGTATCTACACTCAGTTAATTGATATTGGATCCAGTTGCAAGTTTGCTTTCATGTAAACTTCTTGGGCACATTTTGAAGCTGACTTCTGGGTATGGGAGTCAGAAGAAATAGCATGTTCACTTTACAGTCCAGAGAAGACTGACAAAACTGAAAGGATCATGTAACAGTTATACACATGCTAGTGTCTGTCAAAATCTCTTCTGCAGGCAACATCAAGCTTTTCTGCTAGCCTTTTTTATTAACTTTTAAGAGCAGTGGTATGGCTTTGATTTTAGATGATGCAAATGACAACACAAAGTTTTTGCTATAAAAGGAGAAATCCACAGGATTCACTTAGACATGTGTAAGCAACTTGCTTTTTTGTTAATATTCTACAGATTGCCTCTGAATATACATTAGAAGACCAGCCGAATTCAGCCCTTTTTGGAGATGTAAGTATTTTTAGTTGGACAAAGTCATGAGTTAATTTCAAAGTGGAAGACTACAAAGCAAAGTTATTCAGCACAGTTAAGGCATAGGTATACCCTTGGCTCATCACCAGGAGCATTGTATCACCCTGAAAAAATATATAAAGCAAGAACAGAAACATCATTTAAAGAAAAAGACAGAGGGAAAGTTAGAAAACTACAGAAAAAAACTCAACTTTTTTTTCTAATGCAGTCTAAATTCTGAAATTATGTTTAAAGTTACAAAAGATACCCTCAGGCAGTGCAAATGATTAGATGGGACATACTTACTTGCGTGCCTCGCCCTGTGCTTGAGAGGTCTGTGATCCCTTTCTGAGTGCTGGTCGTCTTCTCCGTGCTCTGTGCCTTCTGATGAGATTGCAAAGGAGAGCAGGGAAGGAGGTGCTTCTGACTGCCCTCCTTCCACTTGAGAATCAACACACCCCCTTTCGGTTAAAGACCTGGGTGCTTCCTTCTCCCTGTCTGAACAGTCTAGGATCACCTCCACCCTGGGGAGAGATGGAGCTGCACCTTGGATCCTCTTGACCTCTTTGCCACTAGAAAACTGGACTACTTTGCTTGACCACTGGACGTTGCCCTCTTTCATGCCCAGGGGAATTGCGATTACAGGGCTCGTCCCGTCTTGTTGTACACTGGGTCCTCTTCCTGAAGGGGTACATTTTTCTCCCCCTAAGAGAGTCACAGTAGGAGCATTGGTGCCCTTGTGCGCATCATTTGAGAGGGACAACTGCAGCTCAACCATAGTACCTGGCCTTCTTTCTTCAATCTTCCCTCTGAAAGCAGCCTCATCTGTCACGAGCACTTTGGAGGTGCCTATCACTTTAGGAGTAATTCTGTGGCTTTGTGTGGTCTCTTGTTTTGTTTCAGAAAAGTGTATGTTGCTTTCTCCTGCTCCCTGGTGAGTCTCAGTGTATATCTCTGTGATGCATAAATCTCCATGGGGTATCTCTTTCGCTGTGTTAATTTGCAGTGTAGTACTCTCCCTGTAGTCCTCATTTTTTATGTTATCGTGCTTTTCATTTTCTCTTTCAGCACTCAAGGTTTCATTTATTCCACTGGAGGATCTGCACATACATAAACAAGTAATTCAAGAAATTAAGCTGCTGTAAGCACAGCAATTGTAAGTACAGTTACAAAAGCAGTTTCTGTGTAGTATTTTTCCCCTATATTAATTGTGGTACCTGATAGGAGGTCCATTTAAGTAGAAGAATTTTCCCAGAATGTAGGGGTCTTAAATTGAAGCATCTTTGCATCTTTCAAAATTCTTCAACTTAACGGTTCACTAAGAGGGAAATTACACTACTGCGGTAGAACTATGATCCTATTACCATCCTTCTGCAATGTGGAATTGTACCATTCCTAACATCAGTATGCTTTCACAGACACATTTCTGTTAGAGTGTTTCCAGACAAATGCTGCTGAGACTTCTGGGACAATACTTCTTCATATTTCACATGTGCATGAGAAAATTAACTTTGCATGACACCAGAAGAGTGGTTAATTTTTGGCTCTGTGGCTACTGCTGCAACTGTTTTAGGCACCATCCTCACACGTAGTTCCTGTCCCAAATAGTTTAGTCTCTAAGGAATAGATAAGTACAGGATGAGGATCAGAGGGAGTTGAATGAATACTTAAAATACACATTCAAAGAATTCCTGTGAGGATCATCATCCTTATATATCATGGAATAATTAAAACATTCTGGGCCTATTCCAGTGATCCAGTGAAAAAGGGTAGTGAACCCATACAATATTTCCTAGTTATTAAAAAAATGTATATTTCTGACTGGCAAATGTTACTTTGACTTCCTGAAGCCTACTATATACCTCAGTGTACCACCCTTTTTTAAATTATTCATTCTCCTGGCCCAGTTAGGCTGTTTTACTGGTGTTAGAATTCCTAGTGTACTCTCTAGCTTCTTCTTTCAGTACTCTGGGCCATACTGACTACTATTAATTCAACAAGAAACCTTTTCTGTACAGCAAGACTGCAGCATGTTATTAAGGCTTTCTGTTGACTAGAAAGTAGCAAAGCACTTTTTCAAATGAGGGAAGCGGTAGGTACCCTCAGTAAAGTATTAATACCAAGTATTATGGAGGTTTCTGAAATCAAAAGCGGGTCCCGGGTATTCTGGAACTTTGGAACCCCCTACAAAGAAAGGCTGGAAGAAGCAACAGAAGAAATAAATCTGTCAGTGCACTGAAGAAACTTCAATATTACTTGCTTCCCTAGCCATGCAGCATACTGTTTGTAGCAGTCTGGGTCTGCCTCAAATAGCACGAAATGTGTAACATCCATTAAACCACATATGGAGCTACATAAAGGTCAGACAGATTTTAATTTAGGGAGCTCCTTGTGAGTGCTGCTGGATTCCATCATATTATGCTATTTGGATGATCAATTGTACTGCTCTTAAGTACAGATAAATTGCAGAAATCTGTAAACATTTCCTTGTAAGATATGAGACTGGGGGCTGGGCCAGCTAAATGCTAGCCTTTATTGGTAGCTGAGTGATTGTGTGCATGTGTGAGAGAGAAAGATTTCCACCTTAAAAGGCCCTTGCTACTTATGGATATACTTCTACTCTATATAGACATAAATGTGTATCCGTGTGTCAAGAGGCAGAATACTGGGTCTGATCTCTTTTTTGTCATTTAAGATTGTGTTTTGTCAAATTGTTATTTTTGTTTCAGGTCTTTCCAGCTCACTGCAGGAACAACACCCCTGGTGTAATTCCAGGAAGGAAGCAGAACTCATGGAGTCGGCACGGCAGGGTTTGTCTCAGAGTCATGTTTTGCTCCCTGCATGGTGCATTTCATTTCGGTATGCACTGAACACACTCCCTACTTCCCCCTAGAAATTTTCTTTCTAGACTCAGCAGTAGCCCAAGAGTTGCTAACACTGATGTGAAAAGGGCAGGCTAGCATTTCTGCTTCTGTCCCCACTCTCGATGTTTCCCGGATACATCTGTTCAGCATTTGTCGGGAAGGTCAGTAAGATGCTCCCCAACATGGCATCTGGAAAGTGCCTGCCCTGCAGGGTGTCTCTTTCCTCTGATCCTGTAAACCGAAGATTTTGTGGGCTCTGCTGGTCAGTAACTGACTGTGTTTACAGGGGATTGGGAAAACTTTTTGTAGACATCAAAGGCCAAGTAGCATTTTAAAAACTACTTTAAAAGCCTCATTTTCCTCCCAGTAAGCTTAGTAAGAGCAGAATTAGGCCAACAATGAATGCCTATGAAAATCTCATCCTTCACAGAAATAGCTCAGGAACAGTCAGAAGCTTCCCAAGGAGAAATATTCTTCCCTGCCAGCACAAGATGCTTGGATGTAAAGATCACCACTGGAACACCACTTTAATTAGGCGTTATTCTTTCCTCATGATTTCCAGCGTTTTCTTGAGAGGGCTGCTAACAAGTGGCTACTCGGGAAAGGAAGGGTTTGCTTCTCATTGCTCTTAGAGGATGCTAAGACACTTCCTGAAAAATCCTCTTGGTGGTAGTGCTGAGGGGGCTACTACCCACAAAGGAGGTGTCAGGGGAAGAGAAGTGTTTCAGTTTATTCTCCCATACCCTGGAAGATACTGACAACTCCAGGGGCTGCAAGTTGGGGGAGATGAACTGGTGAGAAGAAACTCAAAGATTCTCACAGTGAATTCCTTTAGAACATTTTAGTCACTTTCAGAGTGTTGAGCAACTGCAATTTGCTTAAAATTTCTAACAGACACACAGTTTCATTCCATGAAACACTGAATTATGTGGTCTAAGCACTCTGTTTTGGTTCTGATTTTCATGACATGTCTTGCCATTCACTGTACATTCAAGCAGGGGCAATGGAGTGAATGGAAGATGTGCTGTCACTTTCAGCTAGAGCGTACTGTGGCCTTCAGACCAACTGAAATATCAGTTATAGAGCAGCAACAGGCAGGAGTCAAAGCATATGGAGCTATTTCTATGGCTGCAAAGAAGACAGCTGGTCAGCCACAAATATCATTTGTACAAGTGCAGTTCCAGTAGTCATGTTATGAATTAAAAACATAAGAATGCAATGGTACTGCTGGACCAGAAGCAAGAGCTATTGCACTATGGAGAAGGTAAGCTGTAATCATCAGCTATCACTGTTCCCCTGATCTCATCACATTGATCCATTACTCAGCCCAAGACAACATGCACAGACAGGCCATGCAAAATGTCTGTTATTAATAAAATGAATACTCCTTGAGAGCATCTTGTTTTGAAGGCAGATTGTAACTTTGAACTACCAGACACTTCAGGAAAGTTCCTTTGTGCAGGTTGCAGAAACCACAGAGGAATTTCACATGCTGTTTAGGCATCCCTGGTAACCAGAAACAAGTGCCTTTGTTGCACCAGAGTCCTTTCGGCCTTTCCAGTGGCACTGCTCTGTTAGCTGTTGTGATGAATCCTGACCCCTTCTGTCCTCCTGGTCCTGCCTGTGGGAGAGCAGACACAGGGAACTGCAGTAGCTCAGGGGGGAGCCATAATTCCTTACAAGGAGTGTGGAAGTCTCCGGTCTTTTCTTCCTCTTCTTACCCACACTGAAGGCAATTCAGAGTTCATCTTGTCTGAATTCATGAAGTCTGGGGAGAATGTGCTTACTGTAGGTGGTTCTGAACTCAAGATTGCATGCATTACAGTGATGACAATTACAGAACAGTCATTAGAATAGAACAGACTGATGTGCAGTGAGCAGTAATGCTGGGTTGCTTGCAAATTTACATGAAGGTTCTCTACTCTAAGAAGCTCAAAGCATTTTCAAAGAAAACTGAAATTCACTATCACTATTTTATAAATGGGGAAGCTGAGACCCAGAGAGCTGTAAGTGACTTGCCCCACCTTCATCTAGTGAAGTGTTAACAGTTACAGAAATAGAACTCATGATTTCCAGACCCTCTCCCTCTCCTGACTACTAACACATTTTGCCACCCAAGAAGACCATTTGCCATGTCATCATCAAGGCATATCTGCGTAACACACTTTCTCCATCTATACAGCCTTTGCTTTTTGTAAGCCTCACTTCCCTATCTGTGGGGGATAACACCACTTCACTACTTCAAAGGGGTGGAAGGAACTTAAGACTCTGCAGTACACAGATATGGTAGTGGAGACCTTGCAAGTATTAAGAATACTTAATAAGAAATAAAATTGTTACATTTGGAGACTGTACTCTTAATTCTGTGACTGAACTGTACTGTTCGAATTATCTACATGAATTCCTTCAGACCAAATACTCTATCTTCCCTCCCTTTTCCGTACAGACAAGCAGAGTTACAGACATAAGTAAGAGGACTATCAGAAGCTCACAGTATATGTCTGCAAAGTGAGTACATTCAAAACCAGCATTTTCCACGTGGTTCACTGAACAGAATTGCACCAAAGCATTCTGAGTATTCCTGTACCTCTTGATAAGCATCTGCAGAACGTCAGTCAGGCTTTCCATCAGAACAATAACTTCAGCATAGGTTAAGTCTCCACAAGGCTTGCCATTGATAGACACCACCTCATCTCCCTCACACAGTCCAGCCTTAGCTGCTTTGCTCTTGCTGCGAACCTACAATGGGTCAAAAACAAATTCCAAATTGCACAATTAGCGTTCATTTGAAAACAGCAGCAACCATGTCCTCAACTTACTATTGTCTGTACAAAAGAAAAAGGATCAGTATTATTGACCATAAATTTCTAGTAACACAAATTAATAACTTGTCCCAGTTGAGGTTAATACTGTTCTGGCCAGTATTAACAAATACAAAAAATTCCGCTGTACCGAGCTTGTGAGCTAGATGTCAAACAGGCTGGAATTTGTTTTAAAAAAAGGGAGACACAGAAGTTTGGGACAACAATCAATTGATCAGAGTTTAGCAGAAATGCAAAAAGTCTTACTCGTTTCTCCCAAAATAAAAGACTACTAGAGCTGAAATCTATGCCAAGATTTTAAAAGAAGAGTGTATAACTTCAGGCTCCTCTGGGCCAAATGACAGTGTCTACATGCTGTAGAGCTGTAGGTACACAGACCTCTGGTATACTGGACACTTTTCCTTAGATGCCCAACTGTAGGTTTAGTTGCCAAACTATAAACATCTGAATCACTGGAGATCCTAAATCCATGTTTAGTCATCTGAGTAAGTGCCCTGATTTATTAAAGTTAAGACACGCCTGTTATGGTTTAACCTTCCCCGTTAAGAACTCATTCAAGAATCTTGTGCAGCTTGGGTTTTGGTACCAGTTTCACTTCTTTTTCCCCTGGCAGTATGTTATAACTTACCATAGTCTTTGTATAACAAAAACTAGACAGCTTTAACACCGCTCAAGGTATGCCATATAGTTGATTGCTATTTTTAAAGTACATATTTGGCAAACAGTGTGTTATATTAACCAGGATGCTTGCAGGAGTCTATTTTAGAATGACACATATACATAAAAGGGCTGTCCTTGGGTTCTTTGCTATCAATCTTCTACCTGTTGGTGTGAGTACTTTGGCCTTATACAATATTCAGTTGGCGGGTCGATATGTTATCCTTATTATTTCTCATAGCATTTTCTTGAAAATTTTTAAAGAAGTAGTACAGTTCTACCACACTCAGAGCAGCAGAGTCAGTCCCCGCTGACTCTAGGAAAGTTACTTCTGATATACACCAGATTTGAGGGTGCAACTGTCCCACAGACCCATGGAGTTATCCCCAATATACTGTTAGGCCACTGGGCTGGTACCTAAGACGCCTTTCTGGAGGCGATTTTGAAAAGTTTGTTGGAGTCAGGATGATGTGTGGAATAGAGTGAGACTGCATGTTTTTCTGTGGCGGTGCCATATATCTTTGTTGTTTCAATTTATACATACCCATATGTCATATTATGGCTTTTAGAGCAGTGAAGAAACAGAAGCCTGGTCCATACAGAAGCCAGTTTCTACCTTGCAGAGTTAACATTTACAAATATGGAGTGGTATGCTGCTCTGTTTATCTCGCCTCAGGCAAGAGCATAAACATCCTTGTACTTTGGGAAGAAACGACAGTTTAAACAGTGTTTAGAACACTTTGCTTCATATATGCACTAGGATTTGGGTTGAGGTTTTGTTACTGTTTTTTTAAATAGGAGGGTATGCTATTAAAATTTTACAAGACATCTTGGGCCTGAATGTAAACATTTAATGTGGATGCTAGGAATAATTTAGAGTGAGTCTTTTTCAAAAAACACGTAAACAGCAATTACAGCAACATGTGAACTCTGAAATAGCATAATGTGATACCTAGATTGTGAGAAGAAAACTTGTTTCTGTTTCTTTATTAAGTGTCTGAGAATTTGGGGTCAGTTCTGTCATAGATTACCATTACAGCTGCCTCAGGAGAGAAACTGTTACCCATTCCATAACTTCAGTGATTTCTGTCAAAAAGCAGAAGTACAAATGTACCGTGTTAATAGGTCTACATCAGTTGCTAGGCAGCTCAACCAGTTTCATAATTTTTTAAACAGACTCCTTGGTAGCATCAAAGAAAATAGACAAGGGCATTGAATTTCCTTTTAAAGTTCTTGAAAGGGGCCTCTCAGTCTGTTTTGCTACCTCGTGAATTGTTGAAAGATGACAATTGTGAGATACTTGGACCTTCATACAAAAACTCAGCCCTTTCTTTGACTGGTCACGCAGGAAAGAAATTACTGTGAGTCGCGATACCTCACTCTCTGGTAGCATTTCAGTTCATATGCACATTAGAGCAAATTTCCTGTCAGTATTATATTTCAAGGTTTATCTACATCAATCACACCTTTAACATGATTTTGCCATTGCAGGATCACACTGCACATGCTGTACGTATTAATGGTTCTCCTGACTCTATGTAAGCCTTTTTCCCAGCCTCCCCCAGAGGCACCTGTGCCTCCCAAATTTGAACAATGTCTATATAAAATCATCTCAGTATTATCCTTTTTTTTTTTGGTGTTTCTGTTGGGGGAATAAAAGGGAGGAGAGAGCACTGACAAAAAATGAGCAAGGGCAGGTTGTATAGTAAATTATAGCAGATTGCTGCTAGGGTAGAAATATACCATCATCATTTGTGTTATTTTAGCCTCAGGATATCACCAGGTTACTCAGCAATATGTAGACTGCCTTGCCAGGCAAGCTGTAACTGTTTCTGGTTTTGTTTATTTATCTTCACTGGAAACCCACAAAAATGAACAAATGATTTACTCATGTAAACCGAAACTTTTCAGATTTCTGGGGGGAAAAAAAAGAACAAAAAAGAAAACCAAGAAAAGCAAAAAAGAAAAAGAAAAAGAAAAAAAAGGACAACAAAAAAATCCCAAGAAGATTTGTGGAAAGCAGAATCTTCCTGGTAAAATACAAGTTTAGTGGACAGTTTTCTCTCAAAGGAAGTTTTGGCAGAAAGCCTTTGATGAGCCCTCTGACAAACGAAAGCTGCCTTTGTTAGCAGAAATACAACTTGGTCACACAGGGGACAGTAAGAAACCTTCATCCAGCCCTTGGGAACTTAAAGCAAGGCATATTTGGTTGCAAAGCAGAAGAGATTCTTCCACAACTAGTGATTGCTCTTGCCTTATGGCGCAGCCCAGGCTTCCTCAGTTACTCGTTTCTCCTATCTGCTTTGGGCTGGAGTTTTCTTTAGGAAGGAAAAGTGTTTTTTCCCGTAAAATTTGTGAATGGGATCTCACTACTAGAAAAATACGTTTGTAAAGATTTTCTTAGTTTTTCAATGCTTGCAATACCGGTATAACACAGTGAAGCTGAGCCTGTACCACTAGTGCTGAACTCATCAAGACACCAGCTGCTCCTGGGGTATGTTGAAGAGCTTTAGCCCACTTTCCCCTGGTGCTGCATGTATTGCTTTTCTGCTCCCCCTCAGTCAGGACTCTTCCTTTTTATTAATCAAGTTATATATCACGCGCTCCTTAGAATTCTTTGGTTTACTTCCAATCACAACATTTCCAGTGAAATGGCAATGGAAATATTTACTCTGAATTCCAAAAGTTTTAAGGAAATCATTGTAGAAGGTGTATTGGTATTGCAGCAGTACTGACCATAGTCAATGCTGTGCGTGCTCTGCTCATAAGGAGTTTTAGAATTCTGAATTTTTAACAGTATTAAACTGTTGTATATAAATAGTTGTACATAAAGACTTCAGGTTATTGAGCCATTTGTTATAATAGTCTCTAATTTCAGGTGTTTAGATCACCCTTGCTAGAGGGTGTGAAGAACAGTGCTGGATTACTTGGACGATTTATCCGAAGTACGTAATTTCTTTTTATTCCCAGGTTACTCCTATATCCAGAATTTCCCACTATCAGGAGTGCCCCTTGCTGCTTAAAATGTCAAGTGCTGAGCAATTCCTCATATCCACAGAGATGTTAATCTTAGGGGAAACTTCCTTTGTGAAGAACTTAGCCTGGATGCTCGCTGTTATCTGAGCACCGCGGAGGAGCCAGGACACCCCTGTGAGCAGTGCAGCACGAGCCCGCACAAGCAGCAGCAGCAGCACTGCTCCCCGGGACGGAAGGCCACGGGGGCTGGTGGAGGGCTCCTCAGCCCCTCACCTGGCACCTATTCACAAGCAGCTGTGGCAACGAGGGACTGGGGGCTGTCCAGAGGCTCTTCAGGAGGGTCTGTGAAGACTTGGGCTGGAAACTGTGAGTGAGTAAGGTCTGGGTGCCGTGATGCACTGCTGAGAGATCACATCCCAAAGGCACAGGTATGTGGGGGGAAAAGCGTGGCATAGTAACTTACTGTGGGTTGGTGGTAGCTGTGGGATGCTGCTGGGGCTGGAATAGTCACGGGTGCCTGCAGCACATGGCAATTTCAGTTGGTTTTCTTAACGAGTGAAAAGATGAATAAACTGAGGGAGACACAGTGGCTGTGTTCCTGCTAGTGAGGGGCAAAGGAGGGGTTTTGTAGAGAAAGCTAGTGCTGAGTGCCCAGCCTTTGTGCTGTGTATACCGTACCGTTTTTACTTTAAACTAGCTCTAGTCTCATCCTGTCGCCTGGAGACTCCTTGCCAGGTAGCAGGTATTAGATCTGCTCCTTTGATTTAATCTGAAAGCTGTTTAGTTTGTACCACCCAAAACTGTTCCGTGCTATGAAACAGCATATCGTAAATCAGGATAATAGGAAAACTTGCTTCAAAAAATGTAATCCTGATGAAGCTAAAAAGCTGAAGTAGATGCACCTGTTACTTGTGGCTGCAAGTGGATGCACAGACAGCAACTGGGGCTCAGCTTACCAGCTGATGATCTTGGTTGTGTGTCTGAGGCCTATAATAAGCAGATCAGAGAGTTGAGGTATGTTGAACCTGGTAACGAGGTCAATGAGTTCTAGTTCAAAGCGAGGCAAATGGACTTGAGGACACTCTGTAGTCCTGGTTCTCCAATTGCGCAACTAAGAGATTATTAGGATATTTCATAGTCTTGCTTTTACCACTGACTTTTGGGAAGGATGACGTGTATCTTAATCTTATTCTGGCATGCTGCTAGGAGTACACACCTGTATCTGGGACGTGTGTCTGAGTGATGTGCTTCAGATGTAGCCTGACTGAGCAATCAGGCTCAATG